CCGTTTTCATCCCCGTTCTAGAAGGAGCCCTGTTCTTGCATGACCAGTTTGTAAGTGGGCATCACCATCAGCATCTGCTTAGGGGATACATGTTCCTTGTCCAGGTGTTGCCACACACCGTGCCATCTGCTTCTGCATAGAAATGCAGGACTCCGTGTTCCTGGCAGGGTGAGGGGAGAGTCCACTCACCAGTCCTGCTTTCAACATCTCCTGCACCCAAATGCCACTTGAATAACAAAGGAAGCTTTCTTCCCCCTCCCACCCTCCTTTCCTCTCTTTTCCCCCACCTCTTGGTTTATCTGCTCCTCTCTGCCTCCATGAGACCCCAAAAATGAAGAAAAAGGAATTAAAAGAGGAAGGCATTGTCATTGTTAATGAATATCGTTGTACCAAGTTTGGGAACAGATGTGGGTTTGTGACGTTGTGAAAGATGTTTTGAAAGATGCCATTTGCAACCTTTTGTGGATCACAGGCCATTTCAGGTCAGCAGGTTAGATCACTCTGAGCCTTCATGTGAAAGGGCTGTGCTTAGCCTTTGGTGGGCACACAGATGATAAGATGGCAGCAAAGCAGTAAACCCACACCCCTGCGCAAGAAGTCTTTTCATTTAAGATGTATTTAAGATACAGGCTATCAGGCATGCTTGGATGTTCCTTTCTAAACAAATGGTTTAAGAAAACCGCTTAAAACACATTCTGTATATAAGGTAGGATCTTATTTTATGGCCTGGGCTTTGGTCCTCCTACGTGGGCTTCTCCATGTCTGCCGCCGTTAACAACAGATGTGTGCCTCTGCATCTCACCCCACAGCTGGAGTAACAGGTGTGCACCATTGTACCCAGTCACTGGTTGAAATGGAGTCTCATGAACTTTTTATGCCCAAGCTAGACTCAGACCACAGCCCCTAATGTTCATGTCCCAAGTAGCTAGAATTACAGATTTGAGCCATCCTGCTTTGCTAATAGTTTTGTATTCTTTATTGACTAATAGTCTGTATTTTAGAGCTGTATTGGGTTCATAGCAAAGTTTAAGAGGGAGGTAGACTGGTGTCCCATCTCCCTTCTTCTCCCAGCCCCCATTAGTAACATCCCTCCAAAGTGGTGCATCATTACAGTTGATGAACCTACACAAAACTCCTTGTTACCAGCCAAAGCCTTAGTTTACATTAGGGTTCAACACTTAACGTCGGCATATCTGGGGCATCACTCATACATTTGTCTCCATTGTAGTATCAGAGAGACATTTTATTACGTAATCACAGACAGTAGAAAGCTTTAAGTCATTGGAAAAAATCTCCTCCAGTAAAATCCATGTGTGCTTGTTGCCATCAAGAAAATATTACTCTTAATATGTTATTACTATGAATAATGCTAACATTTGTTAATATAAGTAAAAACAAGTTGGAGGCAGAGCTGTCAAGAATTCTGTTAGACTGCAGCCTGAGGTCACCCACATAACCTCCCATTGTTTCCCCTTCCTGAGTTAAAATGCCCAAACTGGGTGAGACGATGTGTGTTTGTAAGGTCAGCACTCAGCAGGTTAAGGCAGGAAGATCAAGGTCGCAGTACAACCTGGGGAACAGAGCAAGACCCATTTTCTAAAACAAAGAAGAAAAGAGCTCCAGCACTGGAAGGGCAGGCTGCCTGGCCTCCAGCTCCCATCTCCGGGCTTTGAGTGGCTGGGAGACCATCCTGGCTGACACAGCTTGGCGTCAGGCCCGCATCCTTGTTCACATTCAAAACCAGAGCCCTTCTGTCGTGGTGTCTTGGGATATTTGGTATGGTTTATTCTATCACACAAAGCCTCTAGCTTATTTATTAATAAATTTTAAATTTAAGTCAGTCTTTCAGGAAAAATATAAAAGAAGAAAATGACGTTGGTCTTTGTAAAGGCGGGATTTGATGAATATTTTTAATCTCTCCCGGAGTGGTTCTAGCCACAGGGGTGTTGACCCTATGGAGTGTTCAACCATGTGCCGGCCCATAAATCATTGATTTCGACAGGAAAAAAACAGTCTCTTTTCTGCTGCCTCCTGGAATGATAGAAAATAATTCTAGAATGGGGGTGAAAGAGGGGTTATATCGATTTGTGTGTGTTGGCTCATGTGCTGGTGTTTTTGTTTGATCTTTGCTACTTGATATTTAAGAAGCAAAGAAAAACAGAAGTTCTTGTCTGTGTGTGTGTGTGTGTGTGTGTGTGTGTGTGTGTGTGTGTGTGTGTGTGTGTGTGTGTGTGTGTGTGTGTGTGTGTGTGTGTGTGTGTGTGTGTGTGTGTGTGTGTATGTGACATCTGCCAGAAAGACGCTGCAGATACCAGGACTAGAATTCAAGGCCTGGGCATTGTCACTTTTTTTCTTCAAAGTTGACACTCTACTATTTGTACCACAGTTCAACTTCCAGCTTTTTGGTGGTTAATTGTAGATGAGTGTCACAGACTTCTTTTCCTCTGGGCAAGCTTTGAATGGTGTTCTTTAGATCTCAGCCTCCTGAGTAGCTAAGATTACAGGCAGGAGCCACCAGCAGCCAGCAGGAATGCCATTTTATTTGCTTGATAAAACATGGTGGCACAGCTAGTAGGTTTGGTGAGTTTGGAAATTGTATGTGTGTTCTTTGTTCAGTGTCAGTCATACTGAAGAATTTGAGGACTCTGTGTGCCTTGTGAATTTCTTTGTGACCACGATTGACATCCAACACTTATGATTGAACATGGACACAAAGTCAGACACATTGAGCCCCTTTCCAAGAGAAAATGCTTCCCCTGGGAGGTAAGAGAAGCCAGACAGCAGAGCCCTCCCTAATCATCTTCTCTAAACTCTTTAAACTGAGCCTTATGACAGGGTTGTAATGCACTTGGAGGTTTCACTTCTTCAAGCCTTGACTTCCATTTGGGATATAATTAAGGGTAATTACTCCCGTTAGAGAGTCTGGCCCAGGTGAGGCCGAGTTAATAAATAGCTCTTTGCCTCTGGCATTAGCCAGGATGTCTTCATTAAGGAGATAATATGTCAGGAGAGCTAAGCAGGTTGCCATGGTATTTGTGGGTTCCAACCTGGACTCTGGCTTTCTTTGAGATCGAGAAGTAAAAGGCACTTCCTTCCACCACAGAGCAGACAGAACACTAAACAGTGAGATGACTAGGCCTCATGAAGTCCACAGCGAAGGCTGAGGGATGACTAGATGTTCTACATTAAACATTGGCTCAGACACACTTAAGTAAAACAAAGTAAGCCTCTGGCCTGTGGCTCACGTCCTAGTTACTCAGGAGGCTGAGATCTGAGGATTCAGATTCAAAGCCAGCCTGGACAGGAAAATCCATGAAACTCTTCTCCAATGAATCCCCAAAAGCTGGAAGTAGAGCTGCGGCTCAAGTGATAGAGCGCCAGCTTGAGCAAGAAAGCTAAGGGACAGTGCCCAGGCTCTGAGGTCATTCTCCAGGAGCAGCACACACGTGTGCACGCACACACGCACACGTGCACATACACAGAAACACAGATATTTAATCCCTCCTTCTCTATCAACCACATGTCCATCCATGAGTGTTCTTCAACACATGAAAGTGTGCTGCTGTCATTCAGAAAAACCTGTCCCCCACCCCACGGACCAGCCAACCCCTGGGATTGGGCCTCCACATCTAGCATGCAGCAGATATTTGAGAACTTCTTCCCGCCTCCCCTTTACCACTTGAGCCACAGCTCCACTTTCAGTCAGAGAGGTCAGATGGTGACTCTGTGGGTGACTGGCTTCCAGAAGCACAGTGCCAGCAGCCAGTGCGCAGGTGCAAGGAAGCCCCTGTGGAAATAACATGGTGTGGTTGGGTTACATCAAGGGGGGGCTCGCGGGGTACCCGGACCAGTGGGTCACTTCCTTTATCTCTGTGACTCACAGTGGCTCCCACCTGTGATCCTAGCTACTCAGCAGGCTGAATCCCCAATTCCAGGAAAAAACAACAAAACAAAAACCTGTAACTTATGCAAAGTTACATTCTAGAATTTTACAGTTAGCTTTAAAAAATTAGCATAAGTATTTTGCAGTTCTAGGTAATCCATTGTCACTGGAAAAGTGTTAGGTTTTCAAGACTGCGGGGTTGGGTGACGGGGTAATACCTAAAATACAAGGCTTTTTTTTTTTTTTTTAGATATCTTTATGTGTGTTTCATTAAAAAATAAGTTCAGCCTAAATGGTTCAACCCCTGCCATTTTTCTTCATTTTAGCGAACCTGTCAGATGACTCTGAACACCATAATTTTTTTCTTTTTACATATTTTTGTCAAAGGTATATAACCCTTAATATTTTCTTATTTAGGAAGGAGCTATGTAAGGCCTATCAGGGAGAGAGAGAGAGAGAGAGAGAGAGAGAGTGTGTGTGTGTGTGTGTGTGTGTGTGTGTGTGTGTGTGTGTGTTTCCCCACAATGAAATGTTTGAAAAATTCTATAGTTTACTAGTAAATAAAAACAAGAGCCAGGTGATGTTGGCTCACTTCTGTAATCCTAGCTACTTAGGAGGCTGAGATCTGAAGATCACAGTTCAAAGCCAGTCTGAGCAGGAAAGTCTATGAGACTCTTACCTCCAGTTGACCACTAAAAAAGTCAGAAGTGGAGCTGTGGCATAAGTAGTAGAGCACCAACATTGAGTGAAAAGGCCAGGCAAAAGTGGAAGGCCCTGAGTTCAAGCCCCAATGTTGGTGTGTGTGTGTGTACAGAGAGAGAGAGAAAGAGGGAGAGAGAGGGAGGGAGAGAGAGAGAGAGAGAACAAACAAGCAAACAAACATGAGTGACTAATATTTCTAGAATCTGGACCATAACCAAAGGAACCTCATTCCAATCTCTGTATGCGCTTGGTTTTGTGTTTCTTTTATGTAAATACTCATTAGCCATTAAACTTCACCATTCCCTAGCAGACTATGTGAAAAGAATTTGTCAGGTTGGCCTCCACCAGCTTGTATCATAATTAACTTCTCAACACTAAGATTACAGATGACTAATGGCTCCTCTGCCTCCTCCAGGTTTATTTCGATCTACAGAGGACCCAGCCACACCTACAAGGTCCAGAGACTGACGGAATTCACCTGTTACTCCTTCCGAATCCAGGCAGCCAGTGAGGCTGGGGAGGGGCCCTTCTCAGAAACCTATACCTTCAGCACAACCAAAAGTGTCCCCCCTACCCTCAAAGGTCAGTCGCCAGCCAGTGGTCTCTGTCACACTGTCCCCTAAGAGGAAAGACATGCTTGGTGCTAGAGTAGGAAGTTCCATTCTTACCTTAAATATGTGCAGTAGTTCTAGTATTAGCACAACAAAATTAAAAGGACATCCTAAAACAGATGATGCATTGGATTGTCTGGTTAGATGAGAGGTAATAGGAGAGGATGTGGAGAAGCCATCTGTTCTGTGCTGTGTATGAGTAGTGAGCACTCTCATCCCTACAAACAATAGACTAAGGAAAAGCACTACTTGGACAGGCTCACGCCTTTAATCCTAGCTACTTAAGAGGCTGAGATCTGAAAATCGAGGTATGAAGCCAGCCAGGCAGAAAAGGCTGTTGGGACTTTGGTCTTTAATCACCAAGAAGTTGGAGGTAGAGATACCACTCAAGTGGTAGAGCACTAGCCTTGAGCAATAAAGCCAAACAAGAGCACAAGGTCCTGAGTTGAAGCTCCAGTACTGGGGAGGGGTGGGGAGGGGAATCCATGCAGGCCAACAGTTATTAATATTAATATTAATATTAACTAATGAGACGTCTCATCCCATTCTGTCCTGCAGTAACTCCTCTATGCCTAAAGCACACCCAGCTGGGTTACTGAGAGACTGAGCAAATACCTCTCCTATAAGGCCGGACCCAGTCACGCGCTCACTCACTCTTTCTGGATTCTTACTAATAGAGCTAGAATATTGACTGTTAAATTTGAAGCTTGGATGTGTGCGTTTCTGTTCCAGCACCACGAGTAACACAGTTAGAAGGCAATTCCTGTGAAATTTTTTGGGAGACGGTACCACCAATGAAGGGCGACCCTGTCAGCTACGTTCTACAAGTATTGGTTGGAAGAGAATCCGAGTACAAACAGGTAAGAATTGGTGTGTATGGCACACGTGTGGGTCTCTGAGTTACGAAAATTATTGTATACTAATTGGACCTGGCTAGTCATGGTCTTTAAAAAAACCTTTTATTCCAGCCAGGCACCTGTCACTCATGCTTTTAATCCCAGCTAGTCAGGAGGCTAAGATAGGAGTTCTCAGTTCAGAGCCAACCTGGGCAGACAAATCTGTGAGACTCTCGTCTTTAATTAACCAGTAAAAAAACTGGAAGTGGAGATGTGGCTTAAGTGCTAGAGTACCATCCTTGAGAGAAAAAGCAAAAGTGTGAGGTTATAAGTTAGGCCCAGTATTCACCCCCCCGCCCAAACACACACAAAACAAAACCTCTCTCCTATGTTCCATGCTTTTCCACCTATTCTTGGAAATATGCTCTGCTTCTCAGAGCCCAGTAACTGCTAATGTCACAGCAGAAAAAAAAAAACAAAAACATTATTTGTTCAATATTGTACATGTCAGTTTTGCCCAAATGAAGGCAAATCTATTCCATTATTTGGATGTAGATTTTTACTGGCAGATTTCTGTTCTAAATCCACTGTCTGTTGTGTATTTAGCTGATGGATCTATGAGTTCTAATGGAACAGTGTACAATCATCTGTATGCCACAGAAAATTTCTCTTATCATAAACAACTATTTCCTGGTGAAAACACAGGACCCCCTCAGTAGATGGACACATCCTCAGTAGATGGACGCATCCATCTACCAAGAAATGCATAAGGACCACAGTCCAAGAGAAGTCACAATTAGACCAGGAACAATGTGTCCTGGGTCCTGGGGGAAATTTTTTTTTTCTTCTGCTTCTGCCTGTTCCGTAAGCATTCATTTAAACACCATTTTTTGAGTGTTTCCTTTTCTTGTTCAGGATGTAAGATAGGGAATAAGGGTGATTTGTATTGTATGTGCAGAACAATGGTTAACTTAATTATAGTCCAGGGATAATAGGCACTAGGCTTTGAATTCATAGAGGCAAAGCAATAGCAAATGGGAGGTAATCGGGCACCGTGGGAGCTGCAGGCTCTCCTGGGGAACTCAGTGGGACTTCATTACAGCACTCGTCAGGCAGGGTCCTTTAGCATGTGAGCTGTGTGACTCATTTTTGTTTTACTGAAACTGGCCACCTAGCTGGGTACTTGGGATATGTTTATTGCACCAGTGAAAGAGGCAGTTTCAAAGTTAGAGGGTTGTTGATATCAGCAGTGGTTGGTGATCAGAGTTCATCGTGGAGATTGTTGTTTAGAAACTTTGATGAAAAAAAATCTCCTGGCACAGGAACATGTCCCTTGTCCTGAGCTTATTTTTGTGGGATGAGTGTTGTGGTATTTTTACCTTTGTGCTAGCTGATTAGCTTTCAACTGCTCAGCTGCTGTGATGCAAGAAAATAGCAGCAGGGTTGGTTTGTTTGTGAGCTTGTGACAGTACTGAGTCTTCAACTCAGGGCCCAGATGCTATCTCTTTGCCTTTTCATTCCAGTCTGGCTTTTTACTGGCTAACTGGAGATAAAAGAGTTTCATAGCCCAGACTGGTTTTGAACCATGATCCTCAGATCTCAGCTTCCTGAGTGACCAGGATCACAGGTGTGAGCCACCAACTCCCAGCTCAGATGGCAGGTTTTCATAATTATGCAGTCTATTCAAATATTCATCGTTACCTAAAATTTTCCTCTGAAGTAGAATACACATAGTATTAATTTGGCTTTTCTGACAGTCAGTGAACATTTCAAACACAGTGTTGTGTTGTGGTTGGTTGTGGGTTTTTTTACAGGAAGGTTAATTTTCTTTTTGAACAGTAAGATTGTAAAGCATGATTGAAAAGGATGAAGAGGGCATGCGTGCTATTGCTCTTTGGCACAGGTAGAGCATAGACAGTTCAACCCATGCATAAGAAGTAAAGCAAACGTCGAAAAACGAACTTTACAACTTTGGCAGGGAGGGGGAGGATATAGGAGGGCAGGGATGGGAAGGGGAAACAAAAGAGGAGGCAACAATGCTTGATAAGAAATGTACTCATTACCTTGCCCATGTAATTGTAACCCTCCATCCGGTATTTTCACAATAATAAAAAGAAAAACTTAATAAAAAAAAGAAGTAAAGCAAAATTCTCATATCCATATCTCTGTCCCAAGAACTATAATTCTGACAGAAAATGTTGCAAAGAAGCATTTGGAAGTGAGAACAGGATCTGCTGACTGCAAGAAATGACTTCCTCTTGGCAGTCCGGACTTAGGCCTGAGGCTTTATGGCTTCTACTAGGGTATAGAGCTCTACGATTTATTTATTCATTTGTTTATGCCAGTACTGGAGTTTGAACTCAGGACCTGAAACTGTTAGTTTTTTTACTCAAAGGCTGGTGTTCTACCACTTGAGCCACACCTCCATTTCTAATATTTTGGTGGTTAACTGGAGATGAATCTCTTGGATTTGTTTGCCCAGGCTGATTTGGATGCTTAGACTTCAGCCTCCTGAGTAGCTGGGACTACGGGCATAAGCCACTGGCACCCAGTACATTCCGTTTTAAAAGCCTGAAATATGTCACTTCTTTTGGAAACACTATTTATTTCAGGAATGATTTTTTTTTCAGCACAGGAATAAACAGTGTGAAGTCATGGCTGTTCAGAGTCACATTTAAACTGAAAATCAAAATAACAACCTTTAAAGGCCATGATTTGTCTTTAGCAAATTCTTAAGGGTTTGGGGTCTGGAAGTTCCCTTAAGTATCCGATGAAGGCCATGACCTTTTATGTCAGAAAATTTCCCACATGTGAGCCAGTTAAAATTTCACATCAAATGAGTTTGTCTTCAGATCCCAAAGCTCAGGTCGGGACCCCTAGCTTACTGAGCTATACTAGCTTACTGGGTGCTTTTCCTGTGAAGAATGTCTGATATAGGCTCTGAGTGCTGGTAGGAAAGGCAGTTGGTCATTCCGGACTCACGATCACAGCCTGTGGGCAGATTCCCACCCCCTAGAGGCCTGCAGGTGAGCTAGCAGTGGCCTGAGGCCCGCTCTGCCTCCTACCCTGTGTGGTTTGGAGGAATCAATTCGCCTCGCTGAGCCTTGGCTCTCTTGCCAGAAAAGCAGAGATGATAGGCCTGCTGCTCACCCACAGCCATAGGAGGAGTGGAAGAAGAAGGTGAACTTCCCGCTTCCATCCAGCACTTGGGGGTGGAGCTACGTAAAGAGCCACAGACCTGTGTATACTTGCTTCCCCCAAAAGCTGCTTTTGAAAGGATTTCAACTTACATAGCATGTTACCCTGAATTAAGCTTTATGGATTCTTTATCTCAGTTATGTGGGTTTTACTCTCCTTTATTGGCATCTGGAATAAATGATCAGATTTACTTTCAAATATATTGCTCCTCAAATCAACAGCAATTGTCCTTATGAAAGGAAGGTTGCATATATACTTTAACATGATGATCGGTCACTTCAGTAAAGAAAATCTGGAGCTTCGCGTATGAAATTGAGTTGAGGCAGGAGGAGAAACCCATAATGGTGCCTCTGTCAAAATGAAAGAAAATGAAGGGACATGATGGCATGGCCAGTTGCCCAGCGCCAGGCTGGGTTACCGGGTGGAGGCCCAGCAGCAGAGTCCAGCCTCTGTGACTTGGGCTTGTAGCAGCATCGGCTCCCACATCTGCTGGTCTCCAAGGAGCAGTGAAGAACCTGGGCTCCTCATGATTTCCTCCAGCGGGTGTCTGCATGTCCTATATCATGGGCCCTGGTGATGGTCCTGGCTGCCTCCCGGCTACCACAGGGAGCCGGCAGGAAGCCCAGTCCAATAGCAATGTCATTCTCAAGTTCTAGAGAATTAGAGACACCCTCTCATCTTCGCCCTAACCTATGTGGCTCAACGATACCTTTGTTTCAGGGAGTTGTTTTTCATCCCCAAAGACATGGTGACTTTGATGCATAAATGTTAGAGAGATGCTAAATTCGTTCTTGATGATTTGGGGTTCGGCAGAGTATCTGGGACTTAAAAATTCTCGTTGTTGTTGTTCTAAATACCCACAAGTTTAAAATGAAGAGCAAAGGTCTGCAACTATAATAATGCAGATGGCTTATTTTCATTTAGTTATATAAAATATAATTTGCGGCGAGGTGCCAGTGGCTCATACCTGAAATCCTAGCTACTCAGGAGGCTGAGATGTGAAGATCATGGCTTGGGCAGGAATATCTGTGAAACTCTTTATCTCCAAAAAAAACCCAGAAGTGGTAGAGTGCCAGCCTTGAATGAAAAAGCTAAGGGACAGCTGCCAGGCCCTGAGTTCAGGCACAAATAAGAAGAAGAAAAAGGAGAAAGAAGTGAAGGAGGAGGAATAATAATTTGCTTCTTCTATAAACATTTAATTTTTCTAATGGACGTGGGCATTGTCTTGTATTTTAAGGCCCATTTTCCTTATTGTCTTTGAACCTGAAAATCCTTCGTGTATTTTTCTACCTTAAATTGCTAAAAGTGAAGGTATTTCATGCAGCCTTTTTGTTGGTTGGTGAGTTGGTTTTATGACAGTACTGGTGCTTGCCAGCACTTTCTACCACCTGTGCCATGACTCCGGCGTGACTACTTACTTTGGCTTTAGTTACCTTTTTCAGATAAACCCTTACAGTTATGCCTTGCCTAACCTGGACCGAGATCCCATTTGCACTTCCTGCATAGTTGGAAAGACAGCTACATACCACCACACACAGCTTTGATTGGTTGAGATGGAGTATTGGGAACGTTTTGTCCCAAGCTAGCCTCAAACAACCTCCTTACAGCTATGTACCAAATGATTTTGAGGGCCTCACATGGCCCCTAGACTGGACATTCCCTCCAGTGCTTAGAGCAGTTAGTTAGGGTCAAGAAGTTCCATGGAAACATATGATGTCTCTTTGCAAGATTCTCTAACTGCAGTTTCTAGGAATTTATACCTACTTTTGAGCCCCCTTTCCTATAAAGATGTAGCCACTGGGTTTGGGACCATGGCTCAGTTGGTAGAGCACCAGCCAATGAGCCAAAGTATCAGGTACTGAGTTCTAGTCCAGTCTTGGGGGAAAAAGAAAAATATAAAAAGATGTGCCCATGAAATTCTGGAAGCTGTAGAGAGCACTTAAATAGATATCAATATCTTTCTATGCACTTTCCAGAAGCCTCTAAAACTTCCACAGGATCAGTTATCAAGTGGATTTCAACCGTGAGGTCATCCTTTGCAGAAATGAAGAGGCCACATCGTACAGATGTGGCCTCCGTCTTGGCATAGTAGAGGCTGAGGTGGAGAACTTCCCATAGTGTTTGGAGGGAAAGGCAGAGCCATCTGTGTAGGAAGCTGGACCCAGGCTGGGGGAGCTGAGAGGTCTTTAACAGAGACACCAGCATGGGAGTGGAAGTGGCACATGTTTCGTAAGGCAAAGTCAAAGACTCTATGTGTCACATTGTCATCTTTCGATGATGTCATGGGATGGGTGATGGAATGTGGGGCATGTCACTGCCCGTGGGCCATGTGGGTGATGAACTTCTCTGTAAGTTAGGAATGGGATCTCATACAGAATATTCTGTTTGTTAGAATTTCCCAAGTTGATAATTAATTGGTAATTACATTATGTTAAGAGATTAAAGAGCAATAAATTTAATAAGGTTCATTTGTCTCCACAAAACTGTGTATGTGTATGTCTCTGTGTGTTTGTGTGTGTAGTGTGTGTGTGTGTGTGTGTAAGCGCACACGCACGTGTGCACAGCTCAGGTCCTAGGTGCTGTCCTTTAGCTTTTTTACTCACGACTGGCACTCACTCTGCAACTTGAGCCACAGGTCCACTTCTGCCATTTGGTGGTTAATTGCACACACGAGTCTCATGGACTTCAATGCCAGGGGCTTGCTTTAATCCTCAGATCCTCACATCTCAGCCTCCTGAGTAGCTAGGATGATAAGCATGAGACACCTGTGCCTGGCTTGGATGAGAACTTTTTTTATATCATTTTTGCCGTTATGGATTGAACTTACACCAAGGCTCTGATGATCGCCTAGAGACCACAGTGTTGTGAGTTCATTGATGATGGCATCCTTTTTCTTAAAGGTATACAAGGGAGAAGATGCCACATTCCAGATCTCAGGCCTCCAGACCAACACGGAGTACAGGTTCCGTGTGTGCGCGTGCCGTCGCTGCCTGGACACCGCACAGGAGCTCAGCGGAACCTTCAGCCCCTCCGCGGCTTTCACCCTACAACGAAGTGAGGTCATCCTCTCCGGGGACATGGGGAGCTTAGATGACCCCAGAATGAAGACCATGATGCCTACTGATGAACAGTTTGCTGCCCTCATCATGCTTGGCTTCGCGACTCTGTCTATTTTATTTGCCTTTATATTACAGTACTTCTTAATGAAGTAAACAACTCATATGAATTTACTTAGTGCTACACATTTTAATACACACATTTATTCAGATACCCCACCCCCTTTTTTAAAAAGCCCTTTTGTTCTTTGATTTATATACTTCTCTTGTTTTACAGATTTAGCTAGGAAAAAAATGTCAGTGTCTTGGTGCACCTTTTTGAAATGCAAAACTAGGAAGAGGTTAAACTGGATTTTTTTTTCTTTTTTAATTAAAAAGAAGAAGAAGAAGAGGAAGAAAAGCAAACCAGATACCAAACGCTTTCTTATGTTTTCTTTTTGAGTTTTCAAATTTGCTTTGATTTCTGTTTTTCACTGATGTCTTTGGCAAGACTTTGATTTTTTTTCTTTTAATGTTACAATTTAGTAATTTATAGTCACCCGTCACTTCTTTATCTTGATCATCTATATCTGTAAACAGAATCACAGCATGTGTGCTTAAGAGGACTAGGTTGTCAGCACTGTCAGAGTTACTCATACAGCAACACATACACAAGCGTGTGCACTCACATACAGCTGCCCGAGCCGTCATTGCCACTCAGTTTTGTAACTGTGTTTAGGTCGTTTAATTCAAAATGTGTATTTTAATCGGAAATGTTTTAGTAATCTATAGTTCTTCTGATTTAACACTCTATGAGCTGCCTGTATAAAAAACAATCAAGTAATCAAAATGCACCAATAAATTACGGCGCATTGTGTAGATTTGACCACACAGATTCATAGCAGTAACTTTAAGAGGGCATTGTGCAATAGATAGTTGTTTTCTTTATTCAGCTATTTGAAAAGCTGCTTTAACTTGTGTGTTTGTCTTTGTATATAACTACTTTTCTAATCACTAGAGTTATTATATTCTGTTACGTTTAACCACAACGCTACAATGACAGTTGATGACGGGTTAGTGCCTCTGCCCATTTGTCTGTGACTTACACTAATTTTGAGCAGTCTTTGTACATGTCATCTCATGATTTGGAAAGATTTGCCTTCTGGCTGTTCTTTGAGGTATCAATGAAGTGATTGAATTTCAATACCTTAATTCAGTGCCCATCATACTAGTGTAACAGCAGGTGAAGAAATGATTTAAAAAACAACCCAAAGGGGAAATCACCTGAATCTGTAGCTCTTATTTCTGTGGGTGGACCAAGAATGGGATTTGGCGACCAGCCTGGGTGGGAGGGGATCGGGAGGCCTAGATGCTCTCCCTGGATCTGTCACTAACTTGCTGTGTGATCTGAACACGTCACTTTACCTCTCTGTGCCTCGGTTTTTCCATGCTTGAAAAGAAAAGAAAATGGAGGTTCTTATGCTTGTTGAAGTGCTTTGAGATCCTTGATGAGCAGGTGCTATCGGAGTGCACAGTGTTTCTCTTACATGTTTATGTTTTTGAGTCATGAGATAATCGATTTTAACCCAAAGTCATTGCATTGTTTATATGAAGTCCATAATGTTCAAGTACCTCAGGGACACTTAAGGAATTGGAGGTGCAAATGTATTCCAAAAGGGTGCAACAGGCACAGAATACCCCCCACCCCACCCCCCACTCTCCTGCTCTAGGTTTTTTTTTTTTTTTTTTTTTGTATATTTTTGCTACTTGGTTTTCTTTTTTGTTTGTTTGGATTTGGGTTTTTGTTTTGTTTTGGGGTTTCTGTTTTTGTTTTTGTTTTGATCATTGCTATTTTGTGCTTGGTCTATGTTTTGTCTAAGATGCAGTAAGTATCCTGAACTAGCTTATAATATTCCCATACCAAAGTCATGGGGGAAACACCATTATTTGTTTTTGGTTTATTTATACTATATTCTGCATACAGTACTTTAAATGCCAATTACAGTGCAATCTTTATTTATTGTAAAAATAAAATTTTTTAAAAATGTACTTATATACTAATTCTCCCTTGTAGCATGTTATTTTTGTGTGTTTTCTACTTTTGTAATTTTAGGTCAGTCTCATTTCTTGGCAACAACATCTATACTAGTATTAACCTTCTGACGTTTTCTTGTGTTTTTAATGAGAAGAGCATTTAGTGCATTGAATGCCAAAAACAAAAACAATCTATTATCAGTGATTGAAAGGTTTACATGTACCCAGAAAAACCATAATCATCTCTTGAAAGAGTGCTACAATCCATGAATTTAATTCTTTGTGCCTATATTGATGTAGTAACTACTAGAACGAACGTTCTGTATTTGTTCTTGACTGTAATTAGTGTAATTAGCCTGGCAAATAGATACCATCAAGGTAAATAAATTTTTGCCAAAGTTCTGGCCTTTGAAGACCCATTCTCCATCTAAATGTGTGATTTAACCTGCTCTGACATTATGTCTACATTTCAGATTCAATTTGATTGCAGGTAGTTTAGATGAAATGGCTTTTTTTTCTTTTTTAACCTATGAAAATTCAGTGCAGTCATTTTTGCAGAGGAAGAAATGCTTTTTTGAAACACTTCAGAACTGCTGCTATCAGGAAATTCTCTGAATCAGTCAAAAAAATTTAAAGGAAATAATACTTTAGGTCACAATTGCTTCAGACATTCATTTGATCTTTCTGAGATTTTCATCCACTCTCTTCATCCCACCAGAAAGCTGAAGTATGTGAAATCCAAGCTGATTGCACTTTATTTATTGCTTTCTATTTTCTGGTATTCAGTATATTCCTTTCAATCAGAAAATTACCACACTCTCTATGGCACTATTTTCTATCCTAAATCTGCCTATGTGATATGGATATATAATGCTCTATATTTCATTACACACAAATGATAAAGTATTATAGTAAAACCTTATCTTTTTGCCCTTCTGCCATTATGCATTGAGTGAGCTGCTTCCTGATAGGTAACTCTGCTTCTCTGTATGTCAGACTCATCCCTGACACAAGGAATTCCAACCAGTCCTATGGCACAAACTGCCGTCTGGTCTCAAAAAAAAAAAAAAAAAAAAGATTTTCTTAAAAACACTTTTTTTTAAAAAAAGGTATGTTTTCATATGATCTGCCTTGTTCTTTTCCACTTGAAATGTTGGCATTTTCTAACCTTGTTTTCTTTGACCATGGTAATTCAGTATTCATGTCAAAATTGAAAAGTGCCCTAATTGAATGTGTTTGAATGTTATCCTTGCACAATTCTTTAAATTGAAAGACAAAAAAAAAAAATGTTTTTACCTCACTGTTGGACATACATTCCAAGCTTTTCAACTCTAGGAGAGAAATAATCATATGTTTTCTTGTATTGTAAATTTTAGACTATTTCATATACGTTGTATTAAAACTGCCATATCGATTTTTAATGTATAGATTTTTGCAAATACTATGCTATAAGTAATACCTAACTATCTGTAGTGTATATGTAATATATTTATGCCCAATAAATGTTTTAATTCTTTCTGACTTCAGAAGGGTTTTTCTGCCATGAATAGGATTACTTTTGTTGTTGGCATTCCTTGAAAGATCGAAACAACACTGCCAATTTGCTAGTCAAATGCCTTTAGAAGCCACACAGGTAGCCCATGCACCAGGCTTCATTGAAGGAGGAAGCTGAAACTTGGCTTGGCTGGTGAACAATCCTGGTTAAGCAAGCTTAGCTGGTGAAGGACACCATCTCACATGTACTGATGTTGCAAAAGAGTCTAAAAAGCCAATGTCTCCATAGGAACCAACTAAAATGTGACTGCAAACTACATCCACTGCCAGCTTAATGCTTCATTATGCAGAGGTCTCCATGTCTAAGCTTTTATCAGGAACTCCCTCTGTGACCTGACACTGTGTACTTCCTGTCCCATGACAGTTTTGGTCTTCCTCCTCCAGGATTCAATCAACAACAATAATAAAGCATAGCGTTCCTCTTAAGGCTGTTGTTCATCATTTATGGTGAAGTTGTTTTGCTTGGAATTCCTCCTATTTCAGGGGATGTATGGAGTGCGGGGAGACAGTTATACCAAAAAGCTCACTATGTGAAGAGTGGTGGTTGTTCTGAGCACTGGTGGTTCGCTCCTGTCATCCTATCTACACAGGAAGCTGAAATCTGAGAATCTTGATTTGAAGCCAGTCAAGAAGAAAAGTCTGTGAGACTCTGATCTCTGATTAACCACCAAAAAGCTAGAAGTGTAAATGTAGCTCAAGTGGTAGAGCACCAATTCTGGAAGAAAAAAAAATCCAAGCAAGAGCTGGAGGCTTAGTTTCGGTCTCAGTATGAGCACCTAAAAAAAAAGCACAAACTTAGCACATGGCCCAGAAACTCTCTTCCTAAGCATATGGCCAAGAGAAATGACATGCACATGCCAAACTTGTTCACACACATTGCCAGCAGCATTTCTGATTCCTAACAGCCAATTCAATACACACACAAAAAAGGTGTTGTATGCCTTGTAGTAGAGCGTAGAGTGAATAGTATAGAATGTAGGAGAGAGTAAAATGAGTGTACACTGCCCTGAGTAATAATTAATTAGAGTGATAATTAAGCTCTCCAACTATGGGAAGTAGGAAGACACAACTGCCCTGGCAACCATCACGGAGTTTGACTCCCTGGCTGGGCCACTGTGTTAGCTATGACTGGATTCACAGACCTGATGCCTTAAAGCAATCGAGAGATCCCAGGAGTCCTTTGTAAGAACTGTTTCCACAAAGATGGAGCTGGAGACAGATTACTGAGAGTGAAAAATGAATATCTGTTGGAAACTTGTGAATAGGGAGGGAGAAATAATGGCTGGTGGTTGACCGGGACACAAGAGCGGCTGGCTGCCTTACCCTCAGTACCTTAGGATGGCCATGGACATTCGGTTGACCCAAGAGAGGAAGCAATTGAAGATGGAGAAGGAGGTATATTTGGGGTAGCAATGTTACCCAAAGGGAAGAGTGCAAACTAGCTTCACCACTGAAAGATTTAACCTTAAAAACTACATTTGAGACAAAGGGAAAATAATGGGTGTGTGTAGAGCAAAGTATAGAAATAGATGTAATAGGAAAATGCATGTTTGAGAAAGCCTCTGTTATTTCAGGAAGAGCAGGACTAGGTCCTGAGTGTAGAGAGTGAAGGGCCTGGGAGGGGCTTAGAGGCCAGCGTGGTGCTGGGGGAGAGAAAACAGAGCTCCTTCAGGAAAGTTGCTCAGGAAGGGCTGAGCAGCCTTTGTGGAGTTGTCTATCAGCAATCAAGCAATTTCCTTGAGCAAATCCAGGCTGGAGTGTCAAGCAATGAATGGCCAGGACTTAATGAGGATTTTAATATTAGCTCAAGAGGTCAGGCCCCAAAGGGAGAAAAACCCATCAAAGATATGCAAGAGAGGAGGCCAGCGACCCCTGTAAGTCAAAGATGACAAAGCTGTTGAAAGTAGAAAGAGAGCCTGGTGGGCGATCAGGGCAAAGGCCCCCAACCACAGTGGTACTGCGTCTCTCACCACGACCTTGAGCGATCCACGTTCAGTTCCCTAGATATCATCACATCACCACGGCCCTGAGCATTACCAATATGGGTCACTAGACATCATCACATCGTGGCCCATTGTCCTTGGAAGACTTGCCCAAGAACACCCAGCATCACAATGGGCATCTAGAGACTAAATGACGAGTGGGGAGCTGGTTCAGGATGTATGGAGCCTCTGATTGAGTCTAGAGACTGATATGTCTGCCAGGCTGTCCAGTGATCTTTAGAGTCACGTTGCTGTCTCCTAGAGACACCTATTTCTGAGCCCTGGACAATGCAGCCTGGGCAGTGTTCTCCCTCAGCACCCCTCCTGTCTAGAGAGAGCTCTGCTTATCTGTTGCCCATTAAATCGTGCTGTTGGTGGTAGTAGTGCCAATCCTGGGGCTTGAACTCAGGGCCTAGGTGCTGTCCCTGAGCTTTCGTACTCAAGGCTAGTGCTCTACCCCTTGAGCCACAGCTCCACTCGCAGTTTTCTGGTGGTTCATTGAAGAAATGAATTTCATGGACTACCTGCTCTGGCCAGCTTAGAACCTCAATCCTCAGATCTCAGCCCCCTGAGTAGCTAGGATTACAGGCATGAGGCACTGGTGCCTGGCCTTTGTTCAATTATCTTTGTTTTACTTTTCCCTCTGAGTTGGTAAACCTATCCTTCAAGACTATAGAGCCAAAAGACTCAATCCAGAGTTTACCATTTTCAATGTTTCCATATGGGACATGGATTTTGAATACTGAGCCTATTACATAGACGCCAGAGTAAGCATTAGAAGACCCAGGGATGAGTGTTCATAGAAAAGCATCTATTAAGAGCTGGCTGGATTCCCAACATGGAACCAAGCATCATAGAAGCATTATTTCATGTATCAGAATAATCCTTTGTATGATATTGCTATTTTCATTTTATGGACAAGGAAGCTGAACTCCAGTATTACTTTTTCTTTCTTTGGTTGGTTGTGGGGCTAGAACTCTGGGCCTGGTCGCTGTCCCTCAGCTCTTCAGCTCAAGGCGAGCGCTCTACCACTTGAGCTACAGCACCACTTCCGGTTTTCTGGTGGTTTATTGGAGATAGGAGTCTCACAGTCTCTCCTGCCCGGGCTGGCTTTGAACGGCGATCCTCAGATCTCAGCCTCCTGAGTAGCTAGGATTACAGGTGTGAGCCACCAGCGCCCGGCCTAGTATTACCTTTTCAATGTCACTG